GCGGCTGACCTTTTGGTTAGCAGCTGAATGCTTTAACCACAGTACCACCAGATGAGATACCATGTCACACTCACTAGGATGCCTATATTCAACAAGGTGATACAAAGTGTTGTTAAAGATGTGGAGAAATCGAAACCCTCATACATAGCTGGTAGCAATGCAAAATCCTTCCGCAAAGTCTTGCAGTTCCTCAAAATGTTAAACAGAGTTACCATATGACCACTTCTAGATACATAAAAAACAAAAAAACAAGTTGGTTGGGGTCAATTAGACTCCTAGCGACCCTCATTGGGTTTCCAAGGCGGTATCACTACAGAAGTAGACTGCCCAATCTTCCTTCAAAGGATTGGCTCGTGGGTTTCAACTGCCAGCCTTCTGGTTAGCAGTCAACTGCCTTAGGCACTACGCCACCAGATAGGCCCCAAAAATGAAAACATACATCCACACACAAACTTATACATGAAATGGTCATAGCAGCATTATTCATAATAGCCTAAATTGGAAAACAACCCAAATGTCCATCAATGGTGAATAAATAAATAAAATGTGGTATATTCATACAATGGAATTATTACCTGGCAATCAAATCAATGAAGTACTAATAGACACTGCAGTAAGGATGAACCTTGAACATATTATGCTAAATAAAAGAAGCCATTCATAAAAGATCAGGTTATATGATTCCATTCATGTAAAATATCCAGAGTAGGCAAATCTATAGTGATAGAAAGAAAGTAGATTAGTGGTTGCCTAGAGCTGTGGGTGTTGGTGTGGAGATATGGAATGGGGAGTGAATGCTAATAGGTACAGGGTTTCCTTTTGAGTGACAAAAATGTTCTAAAATTAGATTGTAGCGATGGGTTTCACAACTCTGTCAATGAACTAAAAACCACTTTAAACAGGTGAATTGTATAGTATGTGAATTGAATCTTAATAAAGTTAAATAATTTTAAATGGTTATTCCATGTAAGTGATACAATATGATTTAAGGTGATATTCTATTCATTCATTATTAAACATTGAGGATATTTTCAGATTGTCATTCTGTTAAGTAATAGTTTAAAACTAAACACTCCTTTTCAAAGAATTATTTTTTCCAAAGTTGTTATAAATCTAATAAATGTGTGTTATCACAAAGGTCATCTATATAACTTCAGGGTCTCAGACCTGTCAACACTTCACAGGTGCAAATAACCAGCATGTTCCACACAATTCTCTCCCATAAAAAGTCAGTGGCCTGCTCTTAAAGCTCAATTATGATTACTTTGGCAGTAAGAGACAGAAAAATATTGTGACTTAAGCAAAACAAGTTTGTTTCTCTGTGATATAAAAGTCTAGACATAGGCAACCCTGCCCTAACAAATTCATGGGATGATAGGTCAGGTGTGACATGGAAAAAAAGGAGTCAGGGAGGCCATAAAAAGTAAATAGGTTTATTATACTCACAATTTCTGAGGACAAGGAGGCACAGCACACCATGATACAGGGATATACAAGGGGTTGCACCCAGGGACAAGGCAACAAGCTGGAATTGCAGGAAAGGGCTTATGCATGGCAAGCAGAGTAGGGTTAGCTAGGTTTCAAGGGCTTCCTGGGGCTTGGGCATTTTGAATAATTCTGCAGGTTCAGGGGGATCCCCAGTTGTTGGCTACTTGGTCCCAGGACAATGAGGATAGGTGCATCATGGCCCATGACTAAGAATCTGATTAAGGAAGCGGTTGGATAGTTGACTTGTTCAGCTGCTTAAAAAAAAAAAAAGAAAAGAAAAGAAAAGGAATGGACTGGCCTCCAGACAGGGACTCAAAACTGGGTCAAGACAGTACTTAAGGAAAATAGTATTCCCAACCAGGACTGGGGTGAGGACTGGGATGGTACATTTCTCCATAATGTACTCAGGACTGCAGGCTCTTTCCAGCCCACTGCTTTGCTAACCCTAGGGTGTGGTTCTTTCTCTCATGGTTCAAGGTGGTAGTAATCTCCGTTCTAGTCATCAAGATGGAAGAGACAGAAAGAATGAGGGTGGAAAAAAAGGGGGACAAAGGGCAGGCATCAGTTATATTTAAGGAATGTTCTCAATATAGTTCCATTGTACACCCATCCGCCAAAACTTGGTGACACTACCACATTCAACTTCAAGGGAGAATGAGAAAGTGTACTTTATTTAGATAGCATGTGCTCAGATATCACTATGAGTCAGAATCGACTCGATGGCAGGTCCAGCTACTCATTCCCTACAAGTAGCTGGCTGTAACAAAAAGGCACCACAACCTTGCCCATGTCAGCTCTATTATACATCTGGACATTCTTACAGTGCTTACAAATTCACATGTAGAAACATTGTCTGCTAACCCTACATATGGTCATGGGCACACTACCCCCTGCCTTGACATACCTGATCATTCAGCCTGTCCACCCATCTATCCACCTGTAGATCAATGCTTGCCATCACTGACAACGCAATACTGTACATCAAAAGGGTTCATCTTTGTTGTCTGTACCTCTCATGTACCTCTCTACATCTTTCTCTTCCTCAATGCCACCATGTTCATCACTCACATTTGGTACATTGCTCCTCCTTTCACCTAAATCAATACTTGTCTCTACCTATCTAGTAGTGTTCCCTCCCTTTCCTTTCCACCCCTGGCAACCAGCAAAGAAAATTTCCTTCCATTTATAAACCTTTCCTTGACTTTTTACAATAATGAACTAATACAATATTTATCCTTCTGTGATTGCCTTATTTCACTCAGCATAATGTCCTCCAAGTTCATCCAAGTCATGTGATGTTTTGTAGATTCTACATTATTCTTTAGTGTTGCATAGTACTCCATTGTACGTATCAGTTTGCTTCTTCTGTTGAAGCATTCTTCTGTTGATGGGCACCTAGGTTGTTTCCATCTTTTTGCTATTGTAAATAGTGCTGTGATGAACATGGGTGTGCATATATCTAGTTCTTGTCCTGGCTCTCACATCTTTAGGATACATACCTACTAATGGGATTGCTGGATCAAATGGTATTTCTAATTCCAACTTTTTTGAAGAATCGCCATACTGCCTTCCACAGTGGTTATATCATTTTATATCTTTGCCTATTTTATTTCTTCATATGTTCTCAATTCCTGAAAGATTTATGTTACCAATTAATTTTATTGCTTCTGGCAGTATTTCAAGGCCATATATTACATCTGGCTTTTTCTATATATACATAAAGATATAATCACTTTTGTTTGAAAATGGTTGTAGTTATGATTTACTATATTAATATGTACATGCTATGTATGTCAGAAAAATTCGCTAAATACTGAATATTCATTCTCTTCCACAGAATCCCAATGTACAGAACTTGGTGTAAATTTATTTAATCTTTTTAATTAAATTAAGATCCACAAACAAGCTTGGCTCCTATATAAAAAATATAGTCAACTGAATGTGACTAAGATAAATTGTTGAAACCAAACCAAAACCAAAGCCACTGCCATCATGTAGGTTCTGACTCAAAGTGACCCTATAGGACAGAATAGAAATGCCCCATCAGGTTTTCAAGGCTGTAAATCTTTAAGGAAGCAGACTGCTACATCTTCCTCCTACAGCAGCTGGTGGGTTTGAACCACTAACCTTTTGGTTAGCAGTTGAACACTTAATCTCTGCATCATCAGTGCACTTCTAAAGTGCTGAAAGATAACATACGTTTAACATGTTTCAGGAAAATATTATTAACATCTAGTCTTTTTTTTATTTACAAGTTCAGAAGGGTTTAACAACATTTATGAATATAAAGAGTTACCATAAGAGAAAAATAAAACTGAAATGCTGGTGCTGTGGTAGTATTAAAATTTTATATTATGAAATTAGAGTCATGGAAGAAAAGCCAGGGCCCACACATACCCAAATTAATCCAAACACTTAAAAAAAAAAAAAGTTGTTTTTTTTTTTTTAATAATTCGATAGCTGGTGTGTACTTCCTAGGGGGAAGTACAGATCTAACAAGATGATAGCTTCACAAATAATATTTTACTTACAAATTTCTAAAATGAGTTAAACCCCCAACACTCTACATAACATGACCATATAAATAAAGATAAGTTGCCTTTTTGAAATCACTACATCTCAGTTTATTAAAATTTCAGTATATTTAAAACATAAGTCAGGCATGTTGGCTTGTTTCTGGGTCCCCTTTGCAGATCTGCTTCCTATTATATCTGACACAGAGACCACAGTACACACAGTGTTGGAGAGTTGAGAAGCAATAGCCTGGAAAATCAAGAGGAATGCGTTACAGTCCTAGTTCAACCACCAATTAGTCACCCTAGGCAAGTCACCTGTCAAAGCTTTCATTTCCTCATTAAAAACAATAAATAGGTTAGACTTGTTCTCTAAGGTCCTCTCCAGTGCTGTGATTCTAAAGCGCCTTGTAGGTTCATCTCAGATGATATACATATTCTGTTTACGTTAAATCCCTTCTGACACATTTATTATCAGAAACTATCCACAAATGAAGTCTGAATTATTAAAATGTTTTAACCTCTCCATAGGGAAAAAAATTACTCCATATTTTTCAAGTCAGAAACAGTAATTCAAAACTCAACTATAATATTCTAAACTTTCTTAGAGTAAGATGACAGAATCATAAAACTTGTCCACAGCATTGAACCTAGAAATAATTAGCATTCTAATTATACATATAATGTTAATACCAAAAAGCATTTGAGAGAGAAAAAACAACTTTTTATGAAGCATGTTTAGATGACAATTACTCCACAACATCTGTACATTCAGAACTTGCGAACAGAATGTTAACAAGCTGGAGGAAAAGTGTAACCCAAACTTCTTTATCCAGAGCCAAAAAGATTCTGAATTTCCTAAAGACACAGTTTGAGGAAGAAAAAAGAATTATCCCCCATCTCCCCACCCTCTAGTTCCAAACGTGTATTTTAAATTATGCACATTCTTGGTAATATTTTGTAGAAAATACTGGTACCCCGATACAAAGACAACTTAACTTAGTATTTCCTCTTTAATTTGTTCTTTATAGCAGACATGTTAATTTCATTTTGAACATGGTATGCTAAATATCCTGAGCTTCCAGGAATGAAGTCATGTAGCTCCCCAAGGAATTTCTTCATGGCATCAACTGATATATAACCTACAAAATAAAATCAGGAAAAAAAAAATATATATATATATATATATATATATATATATATAAATCTTATCATGCTGTCTACTTTCTAGTATTTTTGATTTATTAGAGTTAAGGTTTCTAAACAATTTTTAAGAAGTGAAAAGAAGAAATAATAACAATAAGATTTTCCATGAAACTTGATAATTATCAGGGAAAACACCCCAACTCTTTTAAAGCACAGATACTTAATTAATCACTTTGACTATATTGAGAGTGTGATATCCAGGTTGGGGCTGGGACACAAAAGTACCAGACCATAATGACTGGGAAGTGTATCTGGCTTAGGGTATAATTACTCATAACTAGCTACTAACACCATAAACTGCTCATCTTCCTTAGTAGAGCAATCAACACTTTCTTTCTTTTAAATTTTTATTGTGATTTGGGTGAAAGTTTACAGAGCAAATTCATTTCCCATATGGCAGTTCATACACATTTTGTCTCATGACATTCACTGCAGTTTGCCACAGCTCTATTCCCATTTCCTCCCCATAGTTACCTCTTCCCTATGTCCTTCCCTCCCACACACTCCTGCCCCCCAAGCTGTCTCCCTGGGCATACACTGCCCTTTGATTCTCCCATGACTGATCTCTCCAAGGAGTATATCTACTGAATGTAAATATTCAGCTCATATGCCTGTCTTTTCTTTGGCTGGAAGCCACAGAAGTGGGTTCAGTTTCAGAGCTAAAGGGCAGCTAGGGGCCATAGTCTCAGGGGTTTCACCAGGCTCTATCAGACCAGCAAACTTGGTCCTTTTTTTTTTCATGATTTTGAATTTTGTTCCACATTGTTCTCCCACTCTATCCTGGATCTCCTACATAGATACCCCCACCCCCACCCCGAGTGACTGATAGTGGTAGCCAGGCACCATCTAGTTCTGCTGGTCTCATAGTCATACAGGCTGAGGATCGCATGGAGTACCAGTCCCTTGGACTAATTCTTTCCACGCATCTTTGATTTTCTTTATTCTTCTTTGTTCTGGATGAGGAGAGACCCCTTGCTGCATCTAGATGGCCGCTTGCAAGCTTTTAAGATTCCAGTCACTACTCACCAAAGCAGGATGTGGAACAATGTTTTTGTGTAGTATGTTATGCCAATTGAGCTCGATATCTCCTGTGACCATGGTCCCGAGCCCACAGGTCCAACTATTTGCTCCTTCTGGGTAGCTGCTTGTGGCCAAGAAGTCATCACAACCTTGTCCCTTGTCACCTCTATTACATACACAGACATTCTTACAGAACATACAACTATGCTTTGTAGATATATCATCTGTCAACCCTATACATGATCATGGGCACATTCCCCCTTGCCTAGACATACCTGATCGTTCAGCCTGTCCACCCATCTATCTACCCTATGTCAATGTTTGCCATCACTGACAACACAGTACTGTATGTACAATAGAGTTTCATCTTTGTTGTCTATTATCTCCCATGTACCTCTCTCTGTCTTCCTCTCCCTCAGTGCCATTGTGTTGACCACTCACATTTGGTGCATTGCCCTTTCCTTCACCTAAATCAATACTTGTCTCTACCTATCTAGCAGTGCTCCCTCCCCTCCCCTTCCACCCCCGGTAAACAACAAAGAAAGTTTCCTTCAATATATAAATCTTTCTTTGACTTTTCACAATAGTAGACTAATACAATATTTGTCCTGTGATTGATTTGTTTCACTCAGCATAATGTCCTCCAAGTTCATCTACATTATGCACTGTTTCACAGATTCTATGTTATTCTTTAGGGTTGCAGAGTATTCCATCGTGTGTATGTACCTAGTTTGGTTATCCTTTCTTCTGCTGATGGGTACCTAGGTTGTTTCAGTCTTTTTGCTATTGTAAATATAGAACAGTCAACACTTTCTTGCACTGCTAACATTGAAATAACATTCTTTAACCAAAAAAACTGATGGGAAAATTTGTATTACTGCTTAGTCAACAAATGGTATGAATGTGAATAATTTTGATGCCATTAATAATCTGAAATAAATATGAGGAGTATCAAAAGGAACACTTATAATGGGGACAACTTAAGGACTCAATGACTTTAAGCAATACTAATTTGATAGCAGCTCTGGTAGCAT